GCAATTCGTGGAGTTCCAGAACAGTCTCCAATAATGCAGATAAATTTAAAAGATATTATTTAGGCACTATTCAGAGTCTACATCATATACATAAATTATCTCTGTGAGATGCCCAGCCGTAGCACCCTGAGCAAAGGTGTATCAAGGAGTGGTGGTGTATCAAGGAACGGTTCAATACTGTATTGCGTGACCGAACAAAAAATTGTTCAAAAATGGCATCAGACCGTGGATTTTTGCCTATTTTTGATGCAAAATTCGATTTCATGATAACTGAACTACGGAGAATTTTGTTCAAGAGGTCACTGTGACTTGTGACCGAACCACTAAACGTAATACCACAGTAACATTACAAGTGACGTCAACCTACATAGCTACAGATATGTATTTGAGCCTTCAGATTATCAGTGAAAGAAGGATATTGGGCTTGGAACGTGAGCGGGTGTGGTGTTGGTGAACGTCGCCTTGGGGATGAGGTGAACCCAGCAGTTCGGTCAGTTCCAATAGAGTCATCGGACACGGCCAGACCCGACCGATCTTTGCCCCATCGTGAAGCCAAACAACCGCAAACAACAAGACGTTTCCCATTCCATACCTTGTTCATTCCAAGACCGGACTCTGAATCTTTGAAGATTTCACCGAAAGCAAGGCTTTGAATTAGCAAATCTGCTGAAATAGACAACAAAGGCGGCCATGTAGGCACAGCGTCTCTCGATTTTCCATACTTTGCTCTTGGTGCGTGTCCATACATAATTTTCCTACAGTTCAAATTGTTTATCAAACGTTAGTATAACATGACTTCGTACTTGTATAGACAACCATTTGATACTTTTGACCGTATCGCCTTCGAGGTTGACGACCCCAAGGATCATTTCTCGTGGGCTCTTACTTCCCGTCACTTCTACGAGCTCATATGTCCCAACCATATGGAATTTCGCTACTTTCGTTGCGATAACTGACACAGCTCGTTTTGGGGAGTCTTGAATCATCACCATAGCTTTGCCTCTTCCGTTGCACGACTTTCCATCATCATTAAATCTAATGAAGAGCAGCCCCTTATCGACACAATCCTGCCCTCTACATGGGACGCATTCGATCGCTTTGAAGATCCTATCAAAAATTGGAACATTTTCGAGAATGATATTTTCCTTATTCTGCCTGCCATTGATATCATGCAAAATCTTGACCGTTTCTCCTGGTGTCTTTGAGAAGGAGT